TCTACATTAGAAAGAAAAATGGATTGACTGGGTCAAAATCTATGTAACAAAGATCATGATTTGTAGCCCCTGTCAAAAACCCTGTAAAGCAGGACAGCCTATTAAAGGCTATAGGAGGGTTACTTGCAGCTGAAGCCTGGGGTGTTATGAACTGATTCTGGATTAAAGGAAAAAAAGCTTGGCTGTGTTTATCCCTGCAAATGCCTATATCTTATAAAGATACTGCTAAGTTACAGCACAGAGCAATAAACTTGCACTAGGCAACAAGCAAAGGCTCTGAGATCTAGGGCGGAAAATGCTGACCCACTTTCCTTCCAGAAAGGACACGTTCCAGAATGACCTCTTCTGTTCCCATCTTTCATAAGCTTCTGCTGCTCTGGAATGCCTGCTCAAACAGGGGCCAAACTAGAGTATTAGACGAGAGTCTGGGCATGGATTTTATGTGTGAGAAACCTGGTTTTACAGGCATTAAACACTGTGCCTTCTTTCCCATTATTGCAAGAATACCACAAGCTAGAAGACCCACCAGGCTATTTGCAAAAATAGCATGATCTGCAGCCTACCACATCTCCATCTTAAATTATAGGGGTGGGTATTCAAAGACAGTTAATGGAACTGTTTGATCAGAGCTGACTGTTGTGAAGCTTTCCTGCCAGGACTGACAGTGTGGAGATCCACGTGGATAGCCCAAATCCACATAGGAACAAAACAGAATATGATGATTATTCTCATGTTTGAATCGGAACAAACTGAAGTCTCCAAAGTTTTAAGTGAGAAAACAGAACAAAACAAATTAAAAACTCCTATCTGTGAGATATATTACTAAGGTGTTTGTAAAGGGTTTTGGAGCAGCAAATGTTCTAGTTCTGCAACTGCAAGTGGTCACTTACACCATAATTGCAAAGGTACTTGGTAGTGCATACAAACAGCAAAGGGTGGGTTGGAGAGGACTAAAAAGAAAAGAAAAGAAAAAGCCACAAATGCAGTCACAAATATCACTTACCGTCTGCCGGCTGCTGGAAGTTGACATAGGCATAGCCCAGGGAGCGGCGGGTGATCATGTCCCTGCAGACCCGAATGGACAGCACGGGCCCGGCAGGGCTGAACTTCTCGTAGAGCATCGCCTCGGTGACATCGGGGTGCAGGTCGCCCACGTAGAGCGATGCCATGGGGTAGCTGCTGGCCGCCGCGTTCATCTTCTGCCCGCCACGCGTTCCCCGCGCACGCTAAGGTGGGGATTGCTTGAGGGGAGCAACGGGATTTTAAAACAAAGCTTGTAGCAAGTGTTTAATTAGGGGAAAAGCTCAAAATCCTGCTGGAAAACCTCACTGAACGAGGCTGGTGTGCGGAGCAGAGGGACAGTGGCGATGCCGGGGGTGACCGCCCGGCCAGGCCACGGCACCAAAAGCGCCCAGACAGCAGGAGGCCTGGAAAGGGGCAAAAAGCAAAGTCAGACTTTTCCGCCCCAAAACCAGGGCTCGTAAATCAAGCCAAAACCCAAAGCCACTCCACTTCACTGCAGCATTTCCCCCTCCAGCTCCGAGACCGTGTCCCAATCACCTTAAAAACACTTCCCTTATTTTGCCACCCCCCTTCCCAGTACAACTTATCCCGGATTACTCCAGACCCAAGGCCACTTTAGGAGATTTAAAAGAAAATAATAACAGCAATAAATAAACCAAAATGAAGAAAACTAGGGAAAATAAGTATCCCTGCGGTATATACTAGCATTAACCTGCCTGTGGAGAGGCGGTTTCCTCCGTCGCGATATAAAGCAGGGGCTCCCGGGCGGGG